CTGCACCCAGCGGAGCCCGAGATCTGCCAGCTCCCGCTGAGCTTTGCACCCAGGAATTTAGTTAGAAAAGGGGGCCCCTCTCCAGTCCCACAACTGCCACCTGCTGGCCGTGACTGGAAAAACAAATCTGCGGTGGCCACAGGGCAGATGATAAGGACTTCTAGGAGCCTGTTCTGTGCCATGCACGGCCTGCACAGCTGAACCTGCCAGCCTTGCTAAGGAGCTGTTCGTGTGTCCCCCACCCACCAGTGTCGCCAAGCCCCTGGAGCCCCACCTTGTTGGCCCGGTCGTAGCTGTCTCGGAGCTGCAGGTGCTGGCCCACCTTGCTTCCCAGGTCCACCCACTTGCCCTTGAACCACTTGATGGTGGGCGGCTTCAGCAGACTAGCCCCAGCCACGCGGGCTGAGAAGGTGACACTGCCACCTGTGGGGTGGGATGGGTGACCAGCCGGGCCAGGCACCCTGCCGTCTCCCCACCACCACCACAGATGGGTACTGCAGCCCCCACTCACCCACCATCACCTCGCCATCCTGTGGCCGCTCCAGGAAGAGCCCAATGGGGTCGTCGGGGGTGGCTAGGCTTGGGCCAGAGGGCATCTGCTCCTGCCCCTCCTGACCCTCCTGCTTGCCTTCGGGTCCTGGGGCACCACCTTCGGACTCAGGAGGTACAGCTGCAGTGCCAGGGGCCTCAGCAGGGGTAGGGGCAGAGGTCTCCTCTGCCTTCTCTAAGGGGCCAGGGAGGTCAAGGCACAAGCTCTGAGCAAAGACCCATGATCTGGAGCTAGGCCTACGAGCCCACCCCCAGTACCCCTGTGATGATGTCATCCTGATCCCAAGTCCCTGTCTTGCTGTCCCCACTCTGTCCCCTCCCCACTCCCCCAGGTGGCTGCCCCTTCTCCCGTGCCTCAGGCCCCACAGCACAGGCTGCCTGAGCAGGGCGGTCCCCACTGGGCAGGCAGGCCATGATCATCATGTCTTCCCACCATGACGGCAGACACAAGGACCTGGCCCAGAAGTGGGACAGGGCACCCAGGCCCACATAGGACCCTACTCCCTGGACATGGGATGAAGAGGGGCCTGAGCCTCCCAGCTGGAGACTCAAAGCACAGGAAAGCAGGGGTAGGGCATGCACCTGTGATCCCCACACTCAGGAGGCTGAGGCAATAAGATTGCAGGGAACTCACAGTCAGCCTGGGCTACCTGGTGAGACTTTTGTCTCAGAAAAAATCTCAAGGGGCCAGGGACATGGCTCAGTAGAATAAGGGCTTCCCTGGCAAGTGCAAGGGTCTGAGTTCAAGCTCCGGTTCCACAAAAAAAAAAAAAGAAAAAGAAAGAAAAAATCTCAAGCAAAACCTGCAGGAGTACCTGCCCACACCCTCACCTGCCTCTGTGACCTTGAGGTCAAACTTGACCTTGGAGGAGCCCGCAATGACGGCGTAGGGGCCCTGGTCGGTGGGGCCTGCGTCTCGCACTGTCAGGGTGTGTCGCCGGCCCTCAGAAGCCAAGCCATACTTGTCACTGGCGCTGATATCGCTGCCATCCCTCTGCCAGCGCACCTTCACCCCTGGGCGCTCAGTCTCAGCCTCGAATACAGCAGGGCTGCCCGCAGCCACCTCCGCTGACCTCGGCTTCTTACTGAAGGCAGAGACTGAAGGGGCACATGGCGGAAGCTGCAGATCCCTGGTTCACCTGAGCACCCACTCGCAGAGCCCCTCTTTTTTTCCTATTTTTGGTTTGAGATCAGGTCTCTCTGTATAGCCCAAGAAACCCTCCTGCCTCAGCCTCCTAGGTGCTGGGTCACCGATTTCACCTCTAGTCAAGCACACCTAAGCCTTCTCCTGTCTTCCACAGTGCCAGGACTGTGCTGTTTTCCCTTCTCCGAGGACAGCAGCAGTAGGAGAGTTGGGCTCTGCCAGTGCTGCTGGGCCCCCCTCCCTGCCCAGGACCCTGGTGGGGAGCCCCACCTCCAGCCCCACCCCTAGGGGCCCCGGAGGGGCTGGTGCCCTGCCTGCTTGGAATGTGACTACATCAGTCAGCCAGGGCCTGGGCTGCCAATCAGCAGCAGAGATAAGGCCAGCCTGGCCTGGGAGGGGCTGGGTCAGCGCCCCATGACCTTGCAGGGACACAGGGCCAGGCAGCAGGGACGTGGCTTTCTCTGTTCTCTCCCGAGTCGCCCTCGTGTAAGCACCCAGGACTGTGGATCCAGGAGGCTGATGGGGGCACAGCCGGAGGGATGCTGCTCCGCCCAAGCTGTCCCATTGTGGTAGAAAACCACGCCAGGGTAGTGGCCCACATGGGTGATCCCAGCACTCGAGGCTGAGCGGAGGCTAGCCGGGAATCTGAGGCCTGCTCAGGCTCCATAGTGATCCCCAGCTCAAAAAACAAAAAAAGGGGCTAGAGATCAAGCTCAGCAGTACAGTCCTTGTGTGGCAAGTGAGCTCAAGTCCTGGTACGAAAAAGAACAGGAAAAAAGTGGGGGGACAGGACCTGGAGAGAGCGATCCCGAGTGCTGCCAGAGGCCTGGACCCTCCTAACTGCAGAGCAAAGGGTGAGGCAGGCAGATCCCCCACGTTCTAAGAAAGGGGAGGTGGCCACAGCTATTTCCTGCCTTGTTGTCACCTCCTGGGGCCCTTGCCACCCACCCATCCACCCTCAGCTCTCCTGAGGGACGGGGAGAGAAACGGAGACCGGAGAATAGAGCAGGCGGGATGGTGGCACCCTCCTGTGCCCCAGGCCTGGGCTCCCGGCCCCTCGGGGCACCCTCTTCACTGCCCCCCCACCCCACCGTGCAACCCTTGGGGGCAAACTCAGACCCGGCTCCTCTGGAGCTACCTGGCTTCCTCGCTGGCTCAGGCATCTTGAACAAAGTCACAGCAGGCGCAGAGCAGGCACAGCCACTGAGGGGAGATGGAGGGCTCTGCGCCCCACACTATTTATGGTGACCTCCCCTCCCCAGTGGGGCTTATCTGCCTCTGCCCCGCCACCTGCTAAATATAGATGGATCCAGAGAGCTGTGGTCTCTTGGGGGAAGGTAGGGCCACCTCATCCTTGATTGGTTCCTGTCCCATGTCCCCTCCCCTGAGGCAGAGGCCGTGGTGGGGCCAGGGGTGCCAAAGCCTTGGCCCCATGTCCATCTGATGTCCTAGGAGCATGCTGGCCTGGGAGGCGCTGACCGATCAAGGGCACCCTTGCCAGGCTCTGGTGCTGCCCCCAAGTCCTGGCGCCACCATTCTTGAACCCCATAGCACCCCGGTTTTCCCATCTTTGAAATAGGCATGGGCTAGCAACACCCACCCCTCAGAACTGTCACACTCATGAAGGGACTTTACCAATATCAGCCCTATAGGCGTTGTGGCGCACACTTGCAATCCCAGCACCCTGGGAAGCTGAGGAAGGGGGACCACAGATTTGACCCAGCCTGGGGAACTTATTTTTCAGTACCAGGGATTGAACTCAGGACCTTGCACTTTCTTGTGTTGCTGAGCTATATCCTCGGCAGAATGGGGAATTAGCAACTTAGAGAGAACCTGCCTCAAAATTTAAAAAAGGGTCAAGGGATGTAGCTCAGAGTGAAGGCCTTGGATTCAGTCCCTAGTACTGCAATAAATAAAAACAAAAAACTGCACTGCCCAGCACAAAGGGAGCCCATGTGTGCCCATACCGGTATCCTGGGGCCCTGGCCGGGGGGGTAGGGGGTGGCAGGCAGCAGTGCTGGGGCTGGTGTCCCAGGGTGGGGGACCGGGTGACCCTGCTGATGAGGGTGGGGTGTGTCTCTAAACACACCCGGAAGCAGGAGCGGAAATGGAACCAGCGGGCAGCCAGCAATGAACCAGGAGCGTCCCGACCTCTCCTCCGGCTGCCGGGTGTCCTCTGGCACCTCCTGTGCCCCATCTGGACCCCTCCTCTCTACCCTGGCAGAGCCATTGGTTGCCACAAAGAAGCAAATTACCTGGGGTCCACCCACCCTGGGGTCACTCTGTCCTCAGACACAAGCATTTGCCAGATGACAAAAACTCACCATCCATTTAAACACTACAGTGCACCATTTCCGTTTCCTTCCGCCTTTACCCACATTGTCCACTTCTGAGACTTTGTCATTGTGAGCCACTGAACACCACTTAGCTCTCCCATGAACTTTCTCTCTCCCCTGGCATTGAAGATTGAGTCCAGAGCACCCGCACCAAGCGCATTCCCTGCCCTTCTTTATTTTGCAGCTTGAGACAGGGTCTCACCACATTGTTGTGCTGCCCAGGGTGAGCTGCACTTGGGATCCTCCTGCCTCAGCCTCCCTGTGGCAGGACACAGGGCTGTGCCACTGTACCCAACTTTGCAGCTGTTGCTTGCCACCTGGGGAAGCTTACAGATATCGCTGCTTGGCATTGCCGATTGCCCAGGAAGGGCGCCGCTAGGAATACCAGCCCAGTCAGGGCCTGGTGGAGCACTTCCGGGCCTTGGGGTGTGGCTTCTGCTCCTGGGTGGACTGAGAGCCAGCCTGCTCCATCCCTGCACAAGGTGGCCACTGCCCCCTCTGTGGTCCCAGGACAGCACACAGAATGGTCTGGTGTTAGACGCCTCATATCAAGGCTATCTGGTGCTAAGTGACCAGAAAACCTGATGTCTCTGCTGTCTTCACCTACATCAGTGTCATTCTGGGTCATATCTAACACTGGGAGTTCACGCATTATTGATCCGGGGTGCTGAGCGCGATTCTCTCTTTTTATTTTTCTATATTTTTGTTTTCTGAGATAGGGTCTTACTGTGTAGCCCAGGCTGGCCTCAAACTCCCAAAGATCCTCCTGCCTCAGCCTCCAGTGTGCTGGGACGGCAGGTGTGCCCCAAAATATTCCAGGGCCCTTTCCGTACGACCCAACATCCAAATCACCCCAGGATCCCTCTCCACTGGGCAGCCGCCCTGTGGCCTGTCTCAGGTTTGGATAACAACAGGGGACGAATGGGGCACGATGGCGCCGCACACGGGCCGCAGGAGGCGCACACACCGGATGACCTGGCCGCAGGGGCGCGGCCGAGAATAACTTTACTCGGGGCTGGCGGGGCGGCGGGCGCTGTACAGAGCGGGCAGTCCGGCGGGCGGCGGCGCTCAGCGCGGCGCCAGGCGGCCGGGCGCGGACCCGCGGCCCAGCACCTCGCCGCTGAACTGGTAGGTGAGCTTCTTCTTCACCTTGCGCACCTCGCCCGTCTTGCCGTAGTTGCGCAGCGCGCGCGCCATCTTCTGGTAGGTCATCTTCTTGCGGTTGCCCTTCTGGATGCCCCAGCGGTGCGCCAGCGCCTCCTTGTGCTTCGACGAGAACTGGAAGGTGCCCTTGTCCTTGTCCACCCACCAGATGCTGTCCTTCATGTCACCGCTGCGCAGCAGGTCCAGCAGGAACTGGTACAGGCGGATCTTCTTCTTGCTGCCTGCGGGACATGGCGGTGGGGCCGGCGGCGGGGGAAAGGAAGGATGGGGACCCCACCTCCCGGGGACTCCCACTTCCGGGTGGCCTTCACTTCCCAAGACCCTCACTTTTGGGAGACCTTCACCTCCCGGGACCCTGACCTCCGGGGAACGTGCACTTCTGGGGGTTCTGCACTTCCTGGGACCCGCACCTCCGGGTGGTGGAGGGACCAGGATCCTCACTGGTGTGGATCACCTCCAGGGGATCCTCACCTCAAGGGGCCCAGAACCCCCTCTGGGGAGTCCAGGACCGGAGTGTGTGCAGGGAGCTGCTCCCAGCCCATGACCTGTGCGCACACCCGTGCACACGCACACACCATCACACCCTCTCGCGCACCCTCTCTCCCAGGCGAAGCCTCAGGTGCACGCTACACACAGACACTGGCAGACCCCCCACTCCCCGGAGGAGGCGACGGGCCTGGCTAGGGGTCGAGTACCTGGCTCCCCGTGCAGGAGGCCGGGCCCAGGCTCCAGGCCATCGGCCTCGCCATCCGACACCTCCAGCGGGGGGCTGTGCCGCTCGCCCTCCTCCTCATCTGAGCTGGGCTGCGCTGGGGACAGGGATGGGTACGGGAGGCACATCCGGGTCACGTAGGGGCCCTGGGAAGGCGGGAGGGACCGAGGCGGTGAGAGACGCTGGATGCCAGGGGTCTGCTGGGGGCGGCAGGGTGGGAAGCTGGGGAGATGGAAGTCGCCGGGGAACCATCTCGGGCAGGGCGCTGACACCCGGGCCTGCTGACACCTTCCCAGCTGCAGAGGAGGAGAAGGTGGGGGAAGGGCCATGGGTTGGGGACAGGAGTGTGAGGGACGAGGTCGCAGGGGCCTAGGCTGGGGTCACTAGGGCGCGGGCAGAGCCAGTAGGCCGGAGCCTGGGGATCCGTCTGGGGTGATAGGGGGTGCAGAGTCACGAGGCCAGTGGGGTGCCTTGGGGCAGGAGGCCACGCACCTGGTGGCTGAGGCTGGCGTGGGGCGGCACCATGGGGGCTTCGAGGACGTTCATCTGCTCCAGCTCCATGTGGCGGTACAGCTGCTGCAGCTGCGGGGGCTGCACACTCTGCAGCTCTGTGAAGTGGTTCTCAGGGAAGGCCTCGAACTCGCTGTGCACGTGGTGGGGGTGGAAGTCCCAGTAATGGTCTGCGGAACAGCCAGAGGGCGCAGTCACTACCAGGCGCCCGCGGCCGGCTCCTCCCCCTCCTCGGGAGACTCCGCAGTCACGCGGGCTCATCGCTGGGCCACGGTGTGACAGCAGGACCACAGGACTGATGTCCCCGTGCTGCGCCTGAGGAGCGGCAGGCAGGTCATTGTCCCAGACTTCTCTGGAAACCCCCCGCTGGAGCTGAGTCTGGACCCGTGGCTGGGTTGGCTAAGGAGGATCTTGGGCACTGCTGGTTTCTTTGTTCTTTTCTCTTTTTTCGGGAGAGGGGGACCAGGAATAGAGCTCAGGACCTCAGGCTGGTTTCTCTGGGCACGTTTTCCAGGAACAAAAACTACCACATGCCTGAGGGACTTCCTGGGAACAAATTGGGACCAAAAGTACAAAAAGTGTGATGTAAAGAGACCAAAGGGATTTTCTCACTTGGCCCAGATGGAGTGCGTGAGGTGCCAGCCCAGGGCAGGGCCTGTAGGCCTCGTCTAACACACACGTGACACATGGTTGTACACACACGACACACACGGGCATTGACACACGACACACTCGTGCACACACAGATGCTTGTCTGCTTTTGTCTGTGTCACATAAACACGCATTCACACATCCCTAAGAAATGAAATATCTTTTAGCTCTAGACTGAATGTCAAAGGTTCCTTCCTGTTTCTCTTTTTCTGTCTCTCCCTCCCTTCCTCTGTCTTTCTCAGTCCCTCCCTTTTGTTCTTTCCCTTTCCTTCCCTCCCTCTCTCTCCCTTTCTATCCTTCTCTGTCTCTCTGTCTCTGTCTCTCTCTGTCTCTCTCTGTCTCTCTCTGTCTCTCTCTCTCTCTCTCTCTCTCTCTCTCTCTCTCTCTCTCTCTCTCTCTCTCCTCCTTTCATTCTGGAGCCTCTTGTGTGCCAGGCAAGCACGTTACCAGTGAGCTATAGCCCCATCACTTTTTATGTTTTAATATGAGACAGGACCTCACTGAGTCTAGCAGATTGGCTTTGGGCTTGAGTCCTGCTTCAGCTGCGTCTCCAGGAGCCGAGACCAGAACCCGCTGGCTGTCTAATTCTGCTGCCTGGTAGCTTTACCGTGGAACCCTGGCCCTGACTGCGGGCTCTAAATGTTAGAGGCACAGGGGATGGCTGGGAGCACCTGAGATGGGGGAGCCACAGCTTAGGGGCAGGCTGGCTCCACTGCTAGGAGGCTGTGTGACTCCGACAAAGCCGATCCCTGCCCTGGAAGAGCCATACTGCTCCTGATACAGTTTCTCTGCCTCAGTTTCCCCATCTTGGTGTGGCTAATTAGGACCCCCATTTCAAGGGTTTGATATAGGGAGAAAAGGAACCAATGCGTGCAGTAGGCTTTGACCAAAGCCCAGCCCAAGTCTGAAACTCCACTTTCTAAGCCTGGAAGGCAAACCAGCAGGCTCACTGGGGCTTTCGCCCTGCAGGGTGCTGGCCAGAACGCCATCTTTAGCAAGGGGGCTGTGTGGCGCGCTGGGACTTGGGGGTCAGAGCCAGCTTCCTCTTGGCCTGTAGGTGCCCCTGCTCTTGACTCCTTGCCCCCACTGGGGATTGAACCCAGGGCCTTTGTGCTGAGCTGCATCCCCAAAACTTTATTTTTTATTGTGAGACAAGGTCTCACTAAGTTGCAAAGTTCCCTAGACTGGGCTTAAACTCATGATCCTCCTGCCTCCTCCTCCATGGTGTTGAGGTTACAGGCAGGCATCAGCACTCGTGGACCTAAGGAGGACTGTGTTCCCAGAACCTGGAACCCCCTCTCTAGTGCCCACTGGAGTCTGTAGCCCTGGCCCAGGTTGCAGAAGGCCCAGCGGAAGTGTGGCCTCTGCTCTTGACTGGAGTGCTCAGGCAGTTGCGTAAGGAACAGAAGCCCTCCCAGTACAGGGCTCTGTAAAACCAAGGATCTGTGGGCACGCTTGGGGACAGCTCCCATGGGTTCGTTGCTCTCTCACTCCTTGTCCCTTCCCTGCGCCACCCATGCTGCCCCTTCACAGACTCTGAGCTCCCAGGAAGAATGCAGGCCACCTGCACATCTGGAGACAGCTGGGCTCCTCCCCAAGGCCTGCAGGCACCAGGGCACGTTGGGCCTCGATTGAAATCTGATCACCAAAAGCCAACTTTTAATGTGTCTTCCAACGTGCTAAGCACCTAATTCACAGCATTGCACTTCATCCTCGGCCCAGCACCAAGGAGGTGGCCATCACGTGTGGTCTTCCTTGTGTGTATGAGGAAACCATGACTCAGGGAGGCTTGTGCAGGCACGAGTAGAGTCAGGACCCAAACCCATCAGTGCCTTTCTCAGAACTAAATGGTGTCACTGTGCCATACCACACCCAGGAACAAGACTGAATGAAACTTTAAGTGAGACCTATGGTGACTCTGATTTAGCTGACTACTCTTTTCTACTTCTCTGTCCTCCATCATCTACCCAACATCCATCACCCATCATTTCTCCATCCATCCATCCTTGCATGCATGCATCTACCCAGCCATCTACTCATCCATCCATCATCCATCTGCCCACCCAGCCATCCATTTGCCCACCACCTACCCACCCACTCATCCACCCACCCATTCATCCATCCATCATCC